ACCTCGCTGGCGGTTGGTCGGCGGTTAGCGCGGCTGCTGGTCGCGGCGGCCGGGGCTCGCTCTCGGGAAGGCCGGTGCGGATCTCGCGGCGCGGGCGGCGGAGGCGGCTCGAGCTCTCGGGCTGCGCGCTCGCTCTTGGGCTCCTCGCTCGATCTTACTGCCCCAAAAATGGCCCCGCACAAGTTTTTCTAGGCGGCGCACCGGCCCTGGAGGGAAGAGGGTGGGGAGAGTTGGCTCCGGAGTTGGGCATCGACTTCATTAGCATTTAAAGGCGCCCGGTGCCTTTCCGCCCACCGATCGGCGCGGGATGCAGCGCAGGGGCCGAGCGGCCGCCAGAGGAAAGCAAGGGCGGATCTGAGCTTGGCGGGGTGTCTGGAGTTCTCTGCCGAGCCCGCGCGGCCGTCCCTTTGTTGGAGCCGGGCGGCGGGGCGCTCCTGCCTCCCACATCTTCTCGGAGAGGCAGACTCGGGCATCCAGATGACCTGGCGCTCCTCCCTCCCAAACGCTGGTTTTTAAATCCTTTCCAGTTATTCAGTCAACTTTTATGAAGCACCAGAAACTGTTTCTGCTACAGCAATGAACTGGAATAATCAAATCTGAAGGCGGTTTGGCTCCTGACTCCGGAGAGATGATTTACGGATCATTTCGTCTCTCAGCCACAGGTGAGGAGACTGAAGTCCAAACCTCCGAGAATTAATATAAATATCCGAGTTTACAGCAGATTAACGGCAACAAGTGAGCTGTTCAGATGCATATACTACTACTACACTTTTTAAAAAATGAGTAAATCCACACCCCACCTCCTGTTCTAATTACCTCTGCCAGCTGGTGAGAGCCTCCGCAACTGAGCCCTCTTGGTCTCAGGGAGGAGAGGTACAGAGAAACAGATCACCCAATAAACGTTATTCCCAGTTGGAAGAGCCCGCGTGGCCTTTAGAGAATGGACAGGATTATGCTAAACACCTAGCCAGAGGGACTCAAGAGCTGAGATACGGGATATTCGGTGTTCTTTGCCTCCAGGGTCTAGACAGACTGTAGGTATGCACTCCAGTGCTGCTCTTAATTAACCGAGTTGACTTGAACTAGGCGTTCAATGTCCCGAGTCAGTTTCCTCCTTTATGAGAGTCTCTCAAAGGCACCCTGGAAGGTAGATGGGATTACCATATGTAACTCCAGTATCTGGGTCCAACAAAAGCTCCCTTTTTTCATCCCCTGTTCCCCCAAACCATTTACCTATTACTTCCTGCTGGAATTACATGTCATGTGGCTACATCAGGAGGGTAGCTAGCAAGTGTAATTCACCACTGTATCTCCACTGGTAAGCACGGGATCTAGCATAGAGCTGGAACATAGTAAATGTTTGCTAAATGAAAACAAACCAAAAGACCAACATTTTCCAAACTCAATTACTTCTCAACACGTTTATTATCGATGATTATAAAACTACTCTCTTATCACTTTCTTACTTTATCCATGAAAAAATACAAATTCAAATAGAAATTCTTAGGAGAAATAGCAAAATATGGACTATTTGGCTTTTCCATGTAACTCACCTACATTTTTAAAATTGCAAATTTGTAAATGTTAGATTCCTATTTTGGATTGACTTCAGTACGGACCATACAGCAATATTGTCTATATTGGGGTGTATTTTTTTAAAATGCTGATCTGATTCTAAGCATGATTAAATTATTTCTTAATTTTTAAACAGTATAGTCTTAATTAAAATTAAATTATATGCATGATTTATACTGGTGAGGACTGGCCATTGACTTTCTTATCTGGCAGAGTGATTATTGCTATGCAGAATTGGGTTTGCAAGAAAAAAAAATGAGAGGGCTTGAACTCCTGAAATTCCAATTTAATAGTGAAACCTTTAAAAAGTATATATATCTATGTATGTGTGTATATACACACACATATTCACACATACACACAGAGTCTTCACCCTTTGAAAATAATTCTTAACCGGTGTGGTCTCCAACCTCTGGAAGACCCTAAAATAATTACAGATGCATCCTGAGATTTCCTAGAATTTTGTGCTGGAATGGCTCCCAAAACTACTCCTCATTTTCATCCAAAAAAAGCAGTGAGCAGCTGGGAGTTCTTGGTTCTGTGCTAAATAAATGTACAGAGAATTAATTAGAATAAACAATGATCTATGTTCTTTTAATAATCATAACTGGAGAGCAGCTATGATACAGAGACAGGCAAAGTCTTCCATTTCTTCACTCATTAATTCACATGCCCACTCGTTAGTTCGTGTTTACTAAACACACACTATGCATGTGCCAAGTGCTACATTATGAGTATCCAAAGCTGATCAAAATGGAGCTTGCTGTAAGGTTTTTTTTTTTATGGGATGTTAAATCATTTTTTCCCCTATCATTTCTACTGTAAGAAAAATGTCATTTCTTAAATTTGAGCTCAAAGTGGAACAATAATGAAAAAGAATCATAATCTAATTGTTGACAACAATCATTTTTAAGCTATGACTGGTTTGGTCATGAAAACAAAAGCCGCTCTGTTGCGAGTATGAAGGGAGTCAGAGCTTGCACAACTGTTGGAAGGGCTGGGGTGGGGAGAGAGTCCGAGAGCTCCACCGACGATCTCAGACTCCAGCCCCACCAACCTGGTGGTTCTCAAGAGCTTTCCTGAAGCCACTGGAGTCCCACGTTCTCCTGGAGGCTCCCAACCATACAGGACTAGAGCGAGGTTTTGTGACACGTAAAGTTTACACAATTTAGAGAGCTCTCTTTAAGACAAAATAAATATATTTATGAATACAAAGTTGCAAGCCACCTCCAGAGTCTTAGAAAGGGTCCATGCAAGAAAGGAGCCCTGAAGTTTAAACTTCATTAGCTTCGCTGTGAGTCTGCCCACGCCAGCTCTCTCAGCGGCCACATGGATGCTGGATGTCCTCAACAAGTTTATCTAGAAGCAGCTTTGAACCTCTATCTGCCCATGTGTCTTCCTATAACTGACTGGGAAAAATGGTGTCCTCTTCTGCCTTCAAATCATGAACTAGTGCCTCTCATTGACAGTTTCCAACCTGGAACCACACAGGGAAGGAGATTCTAGGAAAAGTAGTTCCTGCCTTCCAGGAGATTAAAGATGCTGCTGAGTTGAGAAGAGACTATGCTGCATACACCCCAAGGTAGACAATGCAACTAACTCACTAAGGAGTTTAAGGAGTGTTTAAACTATTCAAGGCACTAAAGCTAAAAGTATGGGAGCACTGACATACGTGCCTATCATCTGAAACCAGAAAACAGTGAAGTATTAATCTACGCCTGATTGATTCTAAAACAACACAGAAAGGAAATGGTTGGTTTAGAATAAAAAATAGAAAAGTAAGAAAGCAAACGTTTTTCACAGTCATCAACAATGTTCATGGGAGAAAGTACCCTGAGTGTGTCTCTCATTCACTAATAATGCATTCAATGCATTTATGGATTATTCACATGAGGTGCTAAGGATAACATGCAAATCAAGACCAGAATGGACCTGTCTTCAAGGAACTTATGGTCTAGACCAGCACTGTCCAATTGAAATATAATTTGAGCCTCAAATATGAACCACATATGTAATTTTAAAATTTCTGGCAACAACCGCACATAAAAAGACACAGGTGATGTTAATTTTAATGCATTTCACTTAACCCAGTATCCCCAAAATATATATTATCATTTCAACATTTAATCGATATAAAAATTACTAATCTATTTCACAGTCTTTTTTTTTTTTGGTACTGTCTTCAAACTCTGGTGTGTATTTTAAATTCATAGCACGTCTCAGTTTGAACTTGCCACATACAAAGCGCTTGATGTGTTTTTTTATATTCTTATTCATTGTAGGTTACTACAAGACGTTAAATGTAATTCCCTGTGCTATGCAGTAGGACTTCACTGTTTCTCTATTTTATATATAGTAGTTTGTATCTGCTAATCACAAATTCCTAAAAAAATAAAGTGCTCAGTGTGGCTAGTGGCAACCCTGTTGCCACTGGAAGAGTTATACACATCTCCTGGACAATCAGAAATTTAGCCTGAACAATTCTCAAGAAACCCATTGTGAAAAACAGCCTGGCCCTGCAATCTGGACCGCTCATCAGTCTGCAGTGACCCACCAGGATAATACTGCCTATCACACTCACCCGAGCTTCCTTCTGACGTGTAATACCCGAAGATTTTACATGAACAATAATTCTGAATAGCTGTATGATGACAATAAGTTCTAGAGCACACAAATTAATTTACAACATCCATTCCATGCCACCACTGCCTTTGCAGACTTGCACTCTTCTTCTTTAACTTTAATGTATATTGGCATATCAAAGCAAAGATGTATTCTGAGCTTTCTTCTTTTTCATTAAAAGAGCAGGGTGTGAGACTGACTGTGACTTAACCCTCTCCTGTGGGAAACCAGATTTAGGATTTAGAAAATGTTGCACTTCTAGATCTGAGATTATTGAGAGGGGAGAAGGACTTACTGAGGACTTCAAAAAGCAGGTTTTAAAAAATATGGTTATTTCAGCATATCTTGATTTTATATAAAAATTCCAGCTTTTAAAAGACTTTGTAGTGTTGGTTTTGCTTCTGTTGGTTTTTTTCTGAACTATTTAGATAAATTCCTAATTTTCTCTAAAGACTAGCAGATTGGCATCCTTTTGGCTGAAGAACTTGAAGAGATTCTCTGATAGATAAATAAGAACTGGAAATAAATCTTAGACATTATCCATTTCAACCCCATTCATTTTACAAATGAGGCTCAGAGGGATTAACCAACTTTCTCAAACTCATTCATCCCTTTCATGGCAAAGCTAAAGCCCAAACCCGAATCTCCTTACACTCAATCCGGGGCTCTTCGAACTGTACAATTCTGGCTGAAAGAATCCCCGTGTTCTGGCATTGAGTCTCGTGGTGTTTCAACTCTCCACTCTGATTAAGTACATAATAATTGGAATCTGGTAAAATGTAAGAAACATGCAGGGAAACGTGTAAACACTCTGAACTCATCTCCAAAAGAGAGTGAACCGAGCAAGGCTCCCTGGACACTAAAAAATGTTCACATCTTCCCAATTAAGAGCCCTGGATAGGAAACCAAGCAGCTGTATGCAATTTTATTTTAGAGTCTTTTGGAACTAATTCTCTGAAACAATTAGTAAAGTAGATCCTCCTCTTCCTGAAGAAACTGCCTCTGTCTCTTTCTGCAGATTACTTCTCTTTTTTTCCTGTTTCATCTGCTTTCTCTATTTATTTTCATCTTCTCCATTACTTCCCTTAATGTCCTCACTTGTTTAGGAATTAAATCTCATGGGATGTCTAGTCTAAATTCTTGTCTAGAAGACCTAATGTCTGTGTTTCCTGGTGAATATGATAATTCTGGGAAATAAATCCTCAACCAGCAAAAGACAAAAGGAAAGCTTCCAATAGATCTCTTCCAATTTTTCTCCTCTCCTCTTTAATCTGAACTCTTCATCAGGCTTTTGTTTTATCTCTATTAACATCCCCAACTACTTCTTGTAACGATCCATTAAGTACTCATTTTTTGGGGTAGACATCTGTTTAATTTGATTTTTGTACTCCTCCAACATGGGAACTTTAGGGTAGAAATTGAGAATGAGAAAATTGGGGAGGGTAAAGAAGAAACTAGCTCCTAACAAAATTGCAAGAGAGAAAGATTAGTCAAGTCCCATCAGAATTTTGATTTCTGTGTAAGGGCATAATGTAGGAGAAAAAAAGTATTTATGCAAAAAATTACAATAAAGTAGCAATATTTGCAAGTGTAGATCTGTGTGTATTTATTTTGATTTTATGAACTAAATATACACAAGGAGAGTAATATCTATTTCTTCCAAGTATTTAGGTCTCTAGAAATCTAATGAGAAATCGATTTCTAGTCCTCTTTCTTTTCTTCTGCCTTTGCCCGAATCCTTGATATCCACCCCTATTGGTCCTGGCCTTTTAATACATGTTGGATGTTGCAGAGCAGAGTTTGAGCAAAAATAAGTATTATAATAGGATTCCTGTAACCTTACTAGGTTGCATTGTACTGCAATTTGCAGAAACACATCCACCTAATACTCGTTCGGGTTAAGGCATGAAATATATTTTCAAAAATAATTTTAGTAAAATAATCTTTGTTTAATTTGTACTCTTGTTAAGGCAATTTACAGTAATTTTCAACATCTTGACTCTCAAGCCAATTTTTTTCCTCCTCTTTGGCTCCTTAAGCCATTTCAAGTGAAAAGGGGTAATAAACAAGAGTGGTTTCATTGGTAGAGATGGAACAAGTTTAGAGTTTTTAAACATAAAAATGGAACTTTTATAGTTTAAGCTATACCACGATAGGAGTCCCCACAGTGAGAGTTTACATGGATGGAAAATGATGAAAACTAGGAGTTGTAAAGTATCAACAGGGGAAATTTAAGTTCGGGTAGGCTAATTTTTAAAAACAAGACTGTAATAAACAAGTGGCGTGGTTTTATTTGTTTTTTGAGAAGATTGCTTTGTTTTGATGGTGATTGGGGTGATGATTTTTTTGTGTATGTATGTATGTATTATTATTATTATTTTTTTTTACCATTGTAAAAAATAAACCCACCAAGCTAAAAAATCATGTCTTCGGGATGGCGGACAATATCAAGAAGTATGCTGTGGTAAAGATCTATGTTACACTGTTTGGCTGTAGCTACTCCAGTTCTCCTGTATCTCAGTTTCATGAGTTTCTATACAAGTTCCAGGTCCACAATCTATAACTATAATGAAATGAAACATTGTCCTAAAGCTGAAGTGTGGAATCTGACATTTAAAAGGACCCAGAAGACATGTCAGGCCCTAAGAAAGTAGAAGAATGTCATTTTTCTTTGAATTCACTAGCGCACAATAGTATAGCTGGCCAGCTATTTCATTATCTTTAACAAGAGTAAACTGAAAGAACCCAAGTTTAGTTATTCCAAGAGGGATCTCAGTTTAATGACATCTAACTGTGAGATGGTGAGAAATTCAATCATGTGACAAACGACTTTGAGGTGTCCCTGATTGGAAGGGTTCTAAAGTCAACCTTGGTGGACGGGAGTTTGTGGATATAGTCTTGACTTACTGTGAAATGCTCTGGGGGATGTGTATTTTATTACCTGGACCTGCCAGGAGCAGGAGTCTGCTCTCTACTTCAGCACTCAACTCCTCTTTGTAGCTTAGGAAATACGATTTCCTATGGCTGTTCAACAGGTATAACTGGGCACGCTGTAGCCTTAGTTTCTGAATTCTGGTCTCTCAAGATTAGCTGGCACTTTCCTGACCTCTATTCTGGCTGAAACTCTTAAGTAAGCCGTACATACCTACAGAAATAGGCCAGGGTGTTGTGTGAAGTGGAAGTCTGTTAAGAAAATGCTGGACTGGGATTACGAATGCCTCTTCCTCCAGATGGAGATCAAACTCATATTGAGACTAAGTTCTGTAATCAGAGAATCCGGCCTATCCCCATCTCAAACAAAAACTGGAAAGAAGAGAGAATGAATTGGGATATTTATTTCCAAGGATCCCATATGGGTGGACTGGGTCCCTTTACTGAAGACAGCAGATCCTGTCTGGTGGCCTTCTTTATAGTTACTCTGCCTGGGTTGGGTTCTGGCAACCATTTCTTCTCCTTGCCCTCTCAGTCTTAAGGTCTTTGGAAGTGTCCTCGTTTTTATCCCCTGGCGGTGGGGGAAGGAACGGGGCACTGCACCACTCCTAGTTCATTTCCTTTAATCGTATCATACCTTTTATATGTATCTTTGTTAAATGCTCCTCAATTAATTACCTTTTATCATGCCATCTTTTTCTTGCCAGGACCCTGACGCATGCATTGTGTGGATTTATTTTTCTCACATCAGGGAATGTGAATTCATGACCCTTATAAGATATGACATTTTTTTTCTGAAATTACCAGAAGTCCTTGTGTGGTCCATATCAGAGTTATGGGTAGATTACAACTCCTAGCACTGAAATAAAATCATTGAGTTTTTTGACACTGAAAGTCCCACATCCTGGGAAATGACTCTGTCCCCAGCAAATAGGATGATTGATCAGCCTGGTTATGACTCTCATGTAGAGTTGGGTGTGCACCCTCAGAAGTCCCTAGTGATTTGTGTCTAGCAGGCTAGGATAAGAAAGAATTTGAAAATTACTACATAATTATTTCTACATATGAGATTGTACAAAAGGAGTCGAAGGGAATTGGGATAAATGCCACCCTGCTCAACAGTTGTTTCAAGAAAACTTTTTAGTGGGGCATGGATATAAAACAGTCATTTCAGCATGAATTGTTAAAAATTAAACTACTTCTTGGAGATGGAGATGTTGTCACAATCCAAGATACAAGGTAAAAACTATTGTCCAAACCTGGACAGGCCATCAGAGGCATGGTTTAACGTGTTGGAACAGATGATAGAGCTAGGAAAAAGTATTTAGCTTATGATGGAAATGATTGCCAGACAGTGAGAGGGTTTGTAGGAGATGCAGTTTCCATCCCAAGAGAAAAGACAGTTCTGTCTTGGATACCACTAACATTGAGATGACAGAAGCTAAGGAAAAGAACATGATCTACAGGATGCCTGAGGAAGTCACCCTAAGGAGGCCACAAGTGCTCTCAAGTCAAATATTTTAGTGGCTGTGGTTGTAGGTACTTAAGAGCTGGTTCCAGGGGCTTAAATCCAGAGAATATGGTAGGTAAACCTCCTAAGTGTTGCCAGAAAGGTAAGGAAAGTTGACTGTATTCACAGTGAGGTTAGAGATTTTTTTTTCTTTTTACCAAGGAACCTCCCCTAAGAGCCTGGGGAAGAGAGGAAATGACTCACTTAGCACAGGTGTGGGCAGGGGCAAAGATGAGCATCTTTCCCAGAGCAAAGCTGAACCTGACTGAACTCAACCCCTTTCCAAGCTTCTCCCATATAGGGAAGCTGTAGAAAAAGGAGAGAAGAAGAAGTTATTTCCTTCCATAACAGGGAGGTGGAGTTCAGGAAGATGGGTCCCACTTCATCCATGGGCCCAAACGGTGCGAGAGAGTAGATGGGGAGTTAACATGGCAGATAAAATACCTGAACGCCAGCTACTTTTCAAAGTCGGAGGTGACTAGGGGCAGATATCCTTCTTGAATTCTCCCTGAGAGAACCAACTTCTGTAATGAGTGAAACTTGGTGCTTCCACCAAATTGTCATCGACTTTAACCTGCCGTCAATATGGGGGCAAGAGGCACCCACTTGAAAAAGGCTGGACCCTATAGTGAAACTAACATTGACCAGGATCTTTGCTGTTAAGAATGGAGGTCTGGGCCTCACTTCAGCAGTGCATATACTAAAATTGGAACAACACAGAGAAGATTAGCATGGCCCCTATGCAAGGATGACGCACAAATTTGTGAAGTGTTCCATATTTTTATGCAATGTATGGCACAGGGAATATAACCAATAATATTATAATAACTTCGTATGGTACATAATCTGTAAAAATATTTAGTCACAGTAGTGTACATCTGAAACTAATACAATGTTGTATGTCAGCTATACTCCAATTAAAAAAAAATGGATGTCTGAAGCCATATTTCCTGGATTTCTACCTTAGAAGCTGTGGGACATATTTGTAGGAGAGCCATTTACAGTTTAGGGCATACAATCACCCTTCTTTTAGCATGCTTTTGAGGAAGATTGACATTCCATGGTTGACAATGCCATGAGCGCTTGTAATGAAAAAGCTAAAGTGTGCTTTGAATTTCCTAAGGGAACACCCATGAGGCTATTCTCATCTCAGTAGAGGCCACGTTCAATTGGTACCTCTTTTGCTTGACTCACAGCCCCCTAACTCCACCCTCGAGTGACCTGCTTTCTGTGCCTATGAATCAAATAGCATTAGCTCTACAGAGTCTGCTCAGAAAATGAGTTACCAGTTGTTACCAGGTAATTTTTCTTCACTGGAGAACTTTTTGTGCTTTGTTTGGTGAATAGTTTTTAGGAAGTCATAAGTAAATTGGAATTTGGAAAGTGAAGGAGGCACAGTCTAAGGCTTCACCAGGTAATGGATGAAGGTCAAGGATGGATAAAGGACAAGGGCCGATATACCACCTTCTCACTCTTCCCCCAAACACGGATGGATGTGAGCAGGTGAGAGGTGAAGGAGGAAGGTGGTACTTCTAAGGATAAAGGATGGTGTCTCTAAGGATGAAGAGTCTTGGCTAAAGATTTGACTTCAGTTGAACAACTCACATCACTTCCCAGTAATAGACCCTACACTTCTGCCTGAAGCCCTTATTAAATTAATTAAACACAGAGACCATTAGACTGAAGTGGCTTTAATGCCTTAGTAACCTATGTAAGCAAACCAAAACCTAAGCCTGTAACGCCTCAATTGAGAAATTAAGACCTAGGCGTAACCAATCACAAACAGCCAATGAGGCTTTCCCAAATAATGCAACCCCTAAAGCTATGGCCAATCAATTTTCTTGTTTTGTTTCCATGTCTTCTCTGTAGAAGTCTTTCTGCCCAGCCCCGTGGGTGGAGCACTCTTGACTATTTCTGGTTTGGCATTGCCTAATTTGAATCAAGTGTTGTTCAGAGTCTTAAAATGTTTAGTATGCCTCACTTTATCTTTTCTGATGTCAGTTGTGATGTCCAAAGGAGACCCTCACTTCATCCGCCAGTAGCCCTTGGGAGCAAAGAGCGATAAGCAGACCTGGGTACCAGCTGAGTGCCCCGCGCTCACTGCTCTCTCTCCGGGCCTGGAGGTTGCGGGCAGGTCCCTCTCAGATGGGTGAGCTCTGCGGCTTCTGCGTCATGAGCTCTCAGGTTTTATTTGAGTATTTCTTTTACCACACTGGGTCTGGAGTTGGGCTACATACATCTTAAACCAGACTGGGTCCAATATGAGGCCTCGAGTTAATTAAAAAAAAATTTGAAGAGGGGGAAAAAAGGGAAAAAGGATTTCTTCAAGTCCAAAGAATCTGAGACTCCGCCATCTGGGACTCTGGGGCTGACTATATGAATAAAATTATGGGCCCAGAAGTTCTGTTTGTTTGAACAAATAGGTTAACCTTATGAAAGATAATCTTGAATTACAGTGGCCACAGTGGAAAACTTTCAACCCTAGATAAGCTTATCCATCATGAGGTAGGTGCCCTAGAGAAAAAGGAGTCACAGCTAAGACCTCCCAAGGGCAGAAGGAAAATTATTTTTCCTCCTCTACAGTTTCTGGTCACCCAGAAGGGACCTGCTGGGAAACCCACTCACTCTGGAGCCTGCCTCATATTGTCTTTATTAGGTCTTTGATTACTTGGGAGAACTGAGTCTTCTCAATATTAAGAAGAGCTAAATTTTGTTCATAACTATGTAACCTTCCGTATTTGCCTTTAAAATCTTTTATTGTCACTTTTGCTACATAGATAATTAAGCATTATTTCATAATGACCTGTGATCCTATTTAATCAAATGGTCAAACCTCTTGATATTTTTTACAGCTTCCCAGATCAAATCTAAATGGAGTCTGTTAGACCTCAAACTAACTTTGAGATTTCCCAGCGGGCCCCTGGAAATTCTCAAAGGATCTGTCTCTCACATTACAAAGGAGATGCTAAACGAATTAGGTTTGTTTGGCATATTAATTTACATGCAAAGCATTGTCAAATAGGAAGTGATAATGAGCCTTCTTAATTGTATGTATATGGATATAAGTTACTAATGTAAGTATTCCAGAAATTGAAGTGCATAGAAATTTATCAACACCTTCATTGTCTGATTGTCTTCAATTGTTGTATGCCACAGAAATAACTGAATTTCCTTGCCAAATGAACTCTTATCAGATCTTGAACCAGGGTCATTTAAAAAGGCTTTGGTCATTGAGAGACAGTTATTGTTTTACATGGGTGCTTTTGCAGAAGTGCTCCATTTTCAGAGAGATTCATGGGAAAGACTCAGACAAGTACTCTGTAATGCAAGTTTCTGATACTTTCTGATCATACCACAGAACAGTATAAGAATTTTTAGAACTTTAATGGAAAAACTGGATTCAAGCAGAACAAGAATTAATAACATGGGATTGCATGAACTGATGAGGATGATCATAAATTTTAATGACTTTATGTTTGAAACATTGCTGGCTCTTTGATGTTCTGGTTTTCCAGGCTTAAGGAAACCCTTCTCTCTTTTCTTTTAAACTGTCTTTTACTTACAGCAATTTGGTAAATTATACCTTTGTAAACAGAATTGAAGTTGTAAACAGAATTGAAGAATATGGATTATCTTTGATAGGAATGGTGGTGACAGTAGAGAGAAAAATTATGTTTCAATGAAAAACTACAGCACAACCTTGTGGGAATTAAATTCTAGTCTTGTTCATTGTCTCTGAGGCTTTGTAAACTGGACTGGATCCTGAATTCTTCCAGTTTCCTCAAACATCTGGCTACAACTCTCCAAACCAGTGTTTCCAATTTTCTCCCACCCTTCTGACTTGGATTCACTAAGAACAAAGACTGCCCTTGAAACTGTTTGGAAGGTCACTACCTAGTCAGAGGCCAAACTTTAGGGCCTTGAACCGTGGGTCCACATCTCTCAGTTAAAAAGGGCTCCTCCAGACTCTTGGAACTACATGCTACCTGGAGAGCTAAAATCAAAATCGACTAGAAAGTTTCCTGCCCAGAAACAGACGACATCTCGAGGTGGACATTTCCCCCAAATCACAGATCAGGATCCTCATCTCCAATATGAAAACTTTATTTCTTTTGCCTTTTCTCTACTTTCTTTGTCTCACTATGAATGCATGGGAAGACAATGCTTTTTAATTCTGGCGACCATCCTGGAATTTACTGCTAAGGCCAGAGCTATACAGCAATCCCCAGGCTTTCTTTCTAAAGTGGAGATCAATTTATATCACGAGTGACTAATGATTTAATCAATCATACCTATGTAATGAAGTCTTAAAAAAAAAAAACCCAAAAAACAGGGTTTGGAGAGCCTCTGGTTTGGTGAGCGAGGATGTCAGGAGGGTGATGCACCCCAGACTCTAAGAGGACATATGATCCTCTGCTCAGAACTCCAGCATTTTGCCCCTTGTATTTCTTCATCAGGCTGGTCATTCCTATTTTTCAATATCCTTTGTAATAAATTGGTAATCTAGTAAGTAAACTCTTTTCCTGATTCCTGTAAGCCACTCTAGCAAATGAATCAACCCCAAGGAGAGGGTCATGGGAACCTCAGATCTATAGCCAATGGGTCAGAAGCACAGGTTGGCATCTGAAGTGTGTGTGTATGGGGCGGAGGAGGGCAGTCTTTTAGGACTGAGCTCTGAACCTGTGGGATCTGACACTATCTCCAGGTAGATAGGGTCAGAACTGAGTTAAATTGTAAGACACCCAGCTGGTGTTGAAGAGTTGGTTGGTGGATGTGTGAAAAAAATCCACACATCTGGTTTCAGAAGTGAAATCTTCTGTGTGTAGACAGAAAACAGGAAAAGTTTTTCCTCTATAATTACACATACCTCCAGGCAGTGATTTTTCTGACAGTTCTTATCTTTGAAACATCTCTCATTCAAACTTTAAAAAAATTTTTCTTTCTAATGCTTTGAAGAGAACAACGGAATAAAAGTAAATTTTCTTTATAGAAATGTGAAGGCTAATAGTGGGAAGGGGGAGAGCAACGTATTAAAATATAACATGAAATTACATGTATTTTTCCAGTCTGGTTAGATAAGAGGTTGGATTTGACTTAATCTTAGTTAAAGAAAGTAATTATTTTAAGACAATTCTTAAATATCTGAGTTTGTGAAGATTTGTGTCCTCATATTATTATTTCCTCAAAACCTTCTTGAAACCACAGAAATTCTCTAACAGGTAGAGATGTCCGGGTAACAGTTAATCTATCTTCAGCATTCCTCCAGCAGTGCACTGTGGAACTAATTCCAGGAGTTTATCTGTACACCCAGCCAGTGGATCACAAGAAGATCCCTTCCCTCCCTCCTCCCTGGGCCCACTTAGGCCTTCTCCCCGGGTCAGCCCCATAGGAGGGCACCCGCCACCTCCATCCCTGGCAGCACACATCCAAGGCCAGAGCTCAGGCCTGCAGACTGGGATGATGCGTCCTCTGCCTCAGGGGCATGGGAGCTCAGGAAGGGACTTTAAAGAAAAAAAAAAAAAAAAAGAAAGGAAAAAAAGCAAAGTCTTTGGCAGTTTCCACCCACTCACATCCTCGAAGGCTGCAAGGTTTTGCTGATCTGGGTTCACTGGGAACGTTTCCTTGCCAGCCGGGGCCAAGACCCAGGCCTGCTGAGAGCAGAGGCCATCCAGGTTCCCGGCTGCCACCACCCCAAGGCCTAGTCTTACAGAGGCTGCAGACAGCTGGGACTGCCACCATCAAGAAGCCCCTCTTGGGGGCCAGAACTCCTTTGCCAGCGTGGATTCCTCAAGTCAGGACTGCATAACGAAAGCAGCCGAAGGTTTGTTTTTTTATAGCTTTTTTCCCAAAAATGATTTGAAGTTGTAGGCGCAGCTCTTTGCCCTGATATGTGTGCTCTACAATAAAAACCAAATCTAGTATATTTGAAAAAAAAAGTCCAAAAGTCATTAGTTCAGAGGCCAAATGTCATCAGGGCAAATTAATTTCTACTACTGGAATTATAATTCCCCACATTTCTCTTTTTTATATTAGCTTCTTACATGTACTTTAAGAAGCAGCGTTAGGGATGTCCACCTTGTCAAGGCCACGACACGCTACCTCCAGAGTAACCTAAAGAAATTTTCACTTTTTAATTTTTTCATTTGATTAAAAGAATAGTAAGAGGGAAAACATGTACTACTTATGTTAAAAAGTTTAAACAGTAAAAAGTAAGTTAAAATCTCCCTCTTAAAGCCTTTCCCTGTATATCCCACTCACCAGAGAGGACCACCCTTAACAGCTTGCTTTACACAATTAAGTTCAGTAATAAATTATAAACCATTGAAAACTTAGAAGTTCATGAGTGATACTGGTAAGGAGGTGGGGAGAAGGGAAGGTTGCTACTTAACAACAAGATGCGGAGGGCTGACTGGAGGCCGTGGGGCACGGGCTGGGGTCGTAAATCGGCCTTTTGGAGCCATCACAGATTGGATCGGATGGGGTTTATCGATGGACACCGCAGGGAGGGGGAAATGTTAATGAACTGCAGGACATTTCCGTGGACTTAAAGTGTCTCCCCACGGATCATTTATTAGTTGGAAGAGAAAACATAGTAACGATATTGTGGAGAATGAACTACATGGTGACCCAGTGACCAGAACACCACCAATGAGGGACGGATGAACATCTCGTGTCTCCAGATGAGGTCGCCTGTGAAAGCCCTGTGACCTGCTGCGTAGTATTCCGGCTGCAAGGGCATACTTTCAATCTAAAAGTCAGGAAAAATCAGATAAACCCAAATTGAGGATCCTTTTATTAAAAAGAGGGGGGACTATATTCTTCAAAAATGCCAATGTTATAAAAGACAAAGAAAAACTGTTGAAATACTCCAGATTAAAGGAGGCTGAAGAGACATGACAACGAAACACAGTCCTGGATTGCTTTTGCGTGCTGGATGAGACCAAAAAAAGGCTTAAAAAGACATTGTTGGTTTAATTCACAATATTGGAATTCAGATAATAGATTAGACAAAAATATTATATCAATATTAGATGTACTAAAGTTGATAACTGTACTGTGGTTATGTAACAGATTACTGTGATTCTTAGGAAACACACACTGAAAAGTTTAGGGGTAAAAGGCCATGATTTATATAATTTACCCTTAAATGGTTCAGGGAAAAAGAGAGAATAATAAAGCAAATGGAATAAAATGTTAAGAAGTGAATCTGAGTAAAAGGTATGTGGATTCTTTTTGCACTATTCCTATAGTTGCAGCTTTTCTGGGTGTTTGAAATTGTAGGTAATTTCAGAATTGTAGAGAATTGTAGAAATTATAGATCAAAAAAAGTTAAAATATTTTTAAAACAAGCTTTTTATCCTCTTTGGCTTTTTACATGTTTACAATGTTTGTATGTGTCCACCATACATTCAAACACACTTTTCTGTCACTACAAATCAAATTTTTAAAATTTAAAAATTAATTTAAATTTTAAAAATTTGATTTGTAGTGAAAAAATTTTAGCTTTTAAAATGTATTTATCAATCGCTATGGGAAAACCACAGAGTTGGGCACCAAAGAGGTGCTCTCAATGGTGCACGAAGAAATTGAAGTCCTTGAAGCAGACAGCGTGGCATCTTTGTAATTAATTATGATTGTCATGGTCTTGGGACAGGGCAGGGAAGGGATCAAAACAAGAGTGATGGAGAGAAGAGTATCGTGTGAATATCTTACCCTGTCTCAGCATCCACATTAAAATATAC